AGACGCAAATCCGCCGTCTCCCTCCAACGGCGCAAGGACGGTCCAAGCAGCTGCGGCATAACGTTCCTCATCGCCTCCCTGCTAGAAACCTCTCCTCCTCCTCCTGCATGTCCAAGTGGCCGATGGGGCCGTGGGGCTCAGCTGGTAGCGGGGCCACTGCTGCTCTGGAGGGGCTCTGGGCAGGCAGCCGCCCGCCCACATCTCGTGTCCAAGCGAGCAGAAGATGTTTCCCAGGAGCGCGTGATCCCAGGCTCCGTGCAGCTGCCCGGGGAGATGTGTCCTGCTCTCCTCCCAGCCCCACCAAAAAGGGATGTCCCTAGGCCCCCTCCTGCCCGACTCCGGGTGTTTCCTCCCTTCCTTCATCCCACTTCGTGGTTTCTCCACACCGAGTTGAGGACCCTCCATGGTGATGATGGAGATGTGAGGTTGTGAGAGTTGTGCTGAGGCAATGGCCTTCCCGTTTGACCCAAGAGCCAAGGTTTGGTTTGTGCTGGGGCTGCATGTGGAGCTCCCCTCTCCCGAGGACTGTGTTGGGTAAGGGGTTGAATTTTACTCATTAGCGGGGAAATTGTGGCCGGAGAGCCCAGGGATCCTTGGGACGTGTCCTTATTCGTGTTGGAGAGCCCAGTGTCCCTCTCTGTATGCTGACACCAAGCTCCTTGCAGAGCTGGGACACGGAGCTGGAGGCCTTTGCTCAAGCCTACGCAGAGAAGTGCATCTGGGACCACAACAAGGAGAGGGGCCGACGGGGGGAAAATCTCTTTGCTATGGCCCCAACCCTGGACCTGGAATTCGCCGTGGAAGACTGGAACGCAGAGGAGAAATACTACAACTTGACAACCTCCACGTGTGTCGCAGGGCAGATGTGTGGCCACTACACCCAGGTACCGGGCTGCTGGGGTGGAGGGATGGGGCTGTTGGGAGAGGAGCTGTTACCGGAGCCCCAGCTCCTCCCCCAGTCTTTGCCCAAGGGACGGGGAACCAGGTAGGAATCACAATGACACACGGGGACCTTGGTGTAGAGCCAGGCGTGACCAACCTTTTAGAGAGGACTTTTTTTTTTAAACAAGCTCTGCAGCCCTGTTTGGCTTCTCAGCAGAGCCGGGTGCCAGGTTGTCCTAGGCCGAGATGCAACGTCCGAGTGTTTTCTCGTAGCTTGGGTGGGAGTGCGGAGGAGCGGAGGTGGTGATGGTAAATATGAGGATGGATGGAGGGACGGGTGGTTGGTTGGTTTGGTTGGTTCCAGGACCAAAGTGGAGATGGTGATGCTCTACTTGGATGGACTGTGTGGGAGGAAAGCTGTGGCTCTTGGACACGTGGGCTGCAGCCCTAGGTTGGAAGGTGGCCCAGGCAGGCAGGATCCTGAATTCTAAAGCAACATGAGGATGTGGGATCTGGGGGTGAAGGAGGACATTGGTGTGGTTGACAGAGCAGCCTTCAAGGCCAGGGGACAGGTTGCCAACAGGGCATCTGCCTTCCCGCAGTCCCCTCACCTTCACCCCTGGTTTTGCCTTAGGTGGTCTGGGCGAGCACGCATCAGATCGGCTGCGGGGCGAAGTTCTGTGAGAAGATCGACGGGCTCGAAACAGAGGACATGTACCTGCTGGTTTGCAACTATTACCCGCCGTAAGTCCCGTGCCTCGCGTGGCTTCGTGCATCGCAACGGGATTTCTGTGCTAGAAACGTCCTTCCTTCGGTCCCGACAGCGGAGCAGGCTTTGACCTTGTTCAGAAAGAACAGGTTCTAAGAAAGGCCTTTGTTATCTTGGGTTGGTCACAAAGGAAGGAAGGGTTGTCTGGTGATCCCTGCTTGTGATTGCGACCGCTGAGGTCTGGTTCAGCTCCTGGCACAGACCCAGGGAGAGACCTCTCCCCCGAGAGCTGCCCAAGGCCGGCGTCGTGGCGGCTGCGGGGCCACACGCCCCGCCCCCC